ATATATTTCCAGATCTTTTCCATCATCCGAAACATAAACTCTGTCCCCATTAAACAGTGACTTTCCATTTCCCTTTGCCCCAGTCCCTGGAAACCTCTATGATACTTTCTGTCTCTATGAATTTGCCTGCTCTTTTATCTTGCCTGAGGGTTTCAGCCCTGAGCAAGTTCCCTATGGATTCAGTGAGACCAAGAAATGACAGAGGAACATTCTTGTGGTAAAAGGGTTTATACCCAGCTTTATTCTACTAGTCAAGCATTAGAATTATGTCTGTATCCAGCAGTCTGCAGGTCATAATACACCTCTGTCTCTGCCTCTACTCAGAGCACTGGGCAGAGCTCTTTATATAGTGACTCAGTCAATAATAGCTATTTCCCTACAGATGTGGAAGCAGTAGCCTGGCAGCAGGCCAGTTACATCATCAAGCAGTTAGGATCAGGTGAGGATTCTGGCCATAGGAACTTCCATTTTCCCCACAGTCTAGGTACCTCATGTAGGTGACATCATACAGTATTTGTCCTTTTGTTTTCAAGATTCATTCATGTTGTTATATGTGTCAGACTTTTTTATTCCTTGTCAGGACTGATTAATATTCTACTGTTTGTGTTTACTGCATTTTGTTTATTCATATATCTATTGATGGATACTTGGGTGTTTTTCACCTTCCAGCTATTGGGAATAATGATGTTATGAACATGGGTATACGAATATGTGTTTGAGTACCTGCTTTCAATTCTTTTGGGCATAACCTAGGAGTAGAATTTCTGGATCATATGGTAATTCTATGTTTGTCTTTTTGAGGAACCACCAAACTCTTTTCCAGCAAAAAGAAAATCTTTTTTAAACCAACTTGCCTTTATGAAGACTTTCCAAAGCATTAAATTTGGTTTTCACAGAAGCAACAGCTCTACTTTTGGTCCTTTATCTCATCATTTAATTAATTTGTATAATTACAATATTAAGTTCAACCATCATAAACAGGTTTAGAAACATGTACAATTGATACTTGCTGAGCACACAACTCAACTGGTAAAACTAGTGCTTGGAACATACCAGACTACTTACCAGCAATGAACCCCAGTGTCTTGCCAATGGGTTTCAGCCCTGGACAAGTTTACTATGGATTCAGTGTGACCAAAGAAATGCCAATAAAATGTTCTTGGGGTGAAAGAGTTATACCCAACTTTATTCCCACGGTGGCAGGTCAATCGCTAGAATCCTGTCCACTCAGAGCGAGTCTGCATACAGGAAGCCGGTCTCAGGTCTCAGTCTCTGTCCTCGGTGCTGCCACCACTCCAGTCTAGTCTCTGCTCTCCTGAAGCCTTATAGCAGTACCACCATGCCATCCAGAGCACTGGGCAGAGCTCTGTACATACAGTCACTAATGATGCATGGCCCACACATGTGGAGTGAGCTAGCCAACCAGGGCCAGGTGAGAATCCTGGCCACAGGAACCTCACTTTATCCACACCCAGCAGGCTGTGGGCATCAGCTGATATATATTACAGAACACATGGAAAATACTGGCTAATTTGGTCAGTTAAATGGAGACCAGTTAAGAGAACTTCTACTATTCAGCTCAATTATCTTTGTCATGAGAAGATGTATAAAGGGATTTAGAAGCACCTGTGGCTCTAGAAAAAAACAACAGCTGCATATCCATGACTTAACATTCAATACCTTTGTCGGGAGATTGGACAAAGGCAGACAGCAAAGGCTAAAATGGATTGGCTAAAGTTGTCCAATCTGGTCCTTTTTTGTGTAAACTCTTGGGTTTAGGGAAGTTCTAATTGATAATAGCAGCAGGTGGATTTAGGGTTTAATTTAGGGTGGGTGATAAATAGAAGATAAACGAGGAGTAGGGTGGTTCTATCTATTCTTAGAAAGAAGATACCTTTCAAGTTAAGGTTTGAGACTATGAGATGTGATTGGAAGGTTTTCTAGCCAGTTCTCAAGCAAAATCATGAAGCTGGAGGAGGAGTACTTTCAGCATCATTTATCCTTGTTAGTGACCCAAGTGACTTAAGGTTTGGGAAATTCCCCCTCTAAATATGGGCTACAGGAACTGGGTTTATTTTGCTTAGAGAGAGAGAGAGTGAGCGTGCTGAGGGGGATTTAATAATAGTCTCCAAGAATATGAAGGATGTTCTATGAGTGATGGAAAGCAGCTGTTTCCTGTTTCCACTAAGGTCTGGGTAAGAAAGCATGGAGTTAAATTGCAACAAGTGGGCTCAAGAATGCCTTGGCAGTAAAGTGTGAGGCAGTAAACCGACAAGACCCAAGTCACTGGTCTATTTCGGAATTACATAGCTAAGTAGCTGTCTTTCTTGGGTGGCTTAAACTGGCCTGTTTTTGAACTAGTAAAAACCTTCTACCTGTGGGAGAATATAAAGCCATATTGATATTAGCAGTAGTTGAATTTAGGGTGGGTGATAAATAGAAGATAAACGAAAAGTAGAGTGGTTGTATCTATTCTTAGAAAGAAGAAACCTTTCAAGTTAAGATTTGAAACTATGAGATGTGATTGGAAGGTTTTCAGAACCTACCAGGGTTTTATAGCTGAGAAAGCATGTGTCTTCTGAGATTTTAAAAGAGAAAAAAAGTTGCAGAGTCATTTTTCTCCCCTTCAGTCTGCTTTTAAAGTAAGGTTGTTTAGATGCGCTCCTTCTCTTTGAAGTAAAGAAATTCCACAGATTTTCCAGTATATGTATATTTATATATATATATAAACACACATGTATCTCAGATATCAAACATGTGATATATGATATATTACATGCAATTAATTCAACAATGAAAACAACATTTTGTTCTAGACATTGTGTCTAAGTGTTAGCAATAAAGAGGAACAAGATACTGTGCTAACTAGGAGCAAGGCAAATACACAAGGCATTATGAATAATGCATCATTATAGGAGGTCAGCTAGGGGAAGAAATTTAAAGACAGAAAAATGAGTTATGGAAAGGTTACTAGTTTTTAGACAATGAGGCAGATGAAAATGCCTGAAAATTTTCTCTCAACCATTGTTTTGTCGTTATTATCCTGTGATAGGTTAATTATACCGTTTATTCTGAATTGGATAAGTGGTGTCTTAATTGCACAACTGGGAGTGTTTTCAAGGCAAGGTTTGAGTTCTAGAGGATTGTCTGCTGGTAAGATGCATCTTTAAAGTTTCAGGTTTATGTCTGCATTAACTGTATACTTCCATGTGGTATATTCTTATCTTGGACCAACATTCATTATAATCTTATAAAAAATCTTTGCCTCTGTCATCAAATGTTTCCTGTCATCTGGAAAGGGGTAGGGCTGAGTCATGATCCAACACTGACTTCCCACAACTCCTTTTGGCCTGCAAAGTCCAGCACTGAGATGGGAGCGTGAAGAGTGGCAGCTCTGAGTCCTCTCTCCAGACCTGTTCACTGTGAGGCCCTGGGCAAGGGACATCACCTCCCGGAGTTTCCTTTTCCTTAATCTGCTTTGCAGGGATGTTTTGAGGGTTAAATGTAATGAAACAGAGCGCCAAGCCCAGAGCTCAGTGGGCCCAGACCTCAAGTCATACATTGTGTTTCCTTTAATTCACAAAGGGCATCTCTTGCCTGTGGTAGAATCATGATTTCCTCTAGATTCTCTTCACTTAGTGCGGTTTGTTGAACCTTAGGAATAGGACTGTAGAGAAGGTTTGGTCTAAAATTCATGATGGTACCCCCAAAATCCAATTTTATGAATCACTCTCCTTTTCTAAATTTACTTAACCCATAGAAATACGCCCTTATAATGCCAAATGCTTTAGGAAGCATTTGTGGCCAGGTTACCTGAAATGAAACATGTACACACGTGGAAGAAAAGTGCACTTTAAAATCAGGAAGATCATGCATTTTTGTTTTACAAGATTTATAGGAGAGTAAGTAAATCTTCTAGATACTCGGTCATTAAAGAGACATTAATTAAATTGAGTGCTGTACATTGAAATGGTATCAGATTGAAGACATGATCCCTGCCCTGGGGAAGCATATGATAACATATGTATAAAATGACCAAATAACATATGTATGAAATAACCACAGAACAGCTAGACTCAGTATCAGGAAGGGCAGTATAAACCGATGGGGCAGGAGCCCCTAAATTCTGAGAAAAGGCCGAATATGGATTGGCTAGGGATTTAATATAGCTCTAGGAGAATTAGGATCTTGGTTTGACTAAAGACAGGCAGAATTTTTAAAAACCACCTAAAATGTTCACTTCCTATAAAATCCCAGGAACGTACTGCAGTCGCTCTTATTTGAAATAAGTGCATCTTTCTAAAATCTCAGTGTTCAGGCTAATTGGCTTTCAGACTCTTACTGCACACTGTGCCACAGTACTCCTGCCCAAATTCATTCTTAGTCTGCGGGGCATGGAATATCTTTCTAAATCATAACAAGTCACATGGAGAGTAAAAATCCCAGCTAGAGACTGACCTCAAAGTCTGAGGCGCACCACATATATTACTGCCCACAGATTTAGGAACCAAGGTGAGGACCTTTTTCTCTTTCTTAGAAGGAGACTTATAATTCAGGGCCTTCTGAGGGTGATCATGGATTCTCTGAACTGGGCCCCTCCTTGTGTCCCTCCCTACAGCCCAGTTGCCTAAATTAAATAAGTAGAGAAGCAGAACAACAAAACCATTAACCTAACAGCATAGAATTTATGGCTGAAATCTTGCAAAGCTTATGTCAGCAAAGTATAAAATAATTACTGTCACTTTCTTCTAGACAGTTGGCTTTATGGTGCCTGTCACCTTTATCATAACACACAGCTGATGGAGTAGCTCTGTTTTTCATGGCATATGGCCTGGTGTTATGTTCTGATGCATGTGGCCATGCTATTGAGATGACAATGCATGGATATACCAGAGTGTGGCTAAATTTAGATAATGAATTGGAATCCTGCTAATGGTTTTCGTCGCATCAGGCTGTCAGTATGCCAACTGAGCGTTTTCTCTTGCTCTTTCCTTCTCTAGATTCTCAAATCCAAAGATTTAACGTCTCCAACCCAGCGCTACATCGACAGCAAGGTCGTGAAAACAAGAGCAGAAGGCGAATGGCTTTCCTTTGACGTAACTGACGCTGTTCATGAATGGCTTCACCATAAAGGTTACAACCACCCTCTGTTTTCCTCCCTAGATGTTCAGTGATCCTGTTATTGCAAGTTGATTGCAGATTTAAGGGTCTAGACAAACGTACAAATGACCTCCTTGACTTAATGTTTTCCAGACAGAAACCTGGGATTTAAAATAAGTTTACACTGTCCCTGCTGTACCTTTGTACCATCTAATAATTACATCATCCCCAATAAAAGTGAAGAACTAGAAGCAAGATTTGCAGGTAACTGAAACTTGGTCATATGAGGTGGGGGAAGAAAGGGCTTTTGCTGATAATCTCATGGGTGATGATGTCAGTTTGCATGTGAAATGGGATTGTTTGGTGAGGCCTGGGAGTTACATTTGTTTCAGCGAAGATATGGTTGTAAAGATTTATGAAGGCAGAAAGGATCGGAAGAAAGAAGCGGGTTCCCAGTTTACAATGCCCGATGCCCAGTGATGACTTGGCAAGACAACTGACTGACTCATCATCCTTCCAAACAATTAAATAGTCAGTTAAGCCCTTTATTCTTGATTTCAGCAAACCAGCTTTCCATCTATGCTAACATTACAGAAGAAGAAGAAAGCATGCATTCAAGGAAAACCATCAATAGCCCCCAAACCCAGTGTTAGGATCTGGCAACTGTATCTCCCAGAGGAAGGGAGTCACCTGGTATCACAGCCTCTCTAACTGACCTTACATATATTGAAATAGTCCACCTTTTCTAGCTGGTGCCCAATACAGCCTCTTATCAAATTTTTAAATGGTTTATAGACATATAGCATGGTTTTAGTTTTCCCCATATTCTTGCTCACCTTTTAGTGAGTTAGTCACAGGTCAAGGGGAATGAGGAGCTGTTGGATAATGAGAAGTGAGAGGAAGTCTGCACAACATGCCTGTGCAACACGGCTCCACACCACCTGGTCAGGGCGATGATTTTCCTTCCCAGCTAACACCACCCGAGACCTCCATCCATATGCAAAAGGCTACAGTGGCCCTTGCTCATGGAAAAATACTCCCAGAGGTCTAGAGATTTATTTCAGTCTCTAACCTCGTCATGATTCTCTATAGAGTGTGGGGATTAAATGCTTCAACTGGCAATCTCCTGAGTATGCTTTGGAGAACTCCAGTTTCTAAATCTCAGATGGAATCAGCTAAGTGTTGAGGATACCATAAAATAAATGAAAAAGCCCTTTCTTCACAGCTTTCCCAAGCAGTATCAGGTGAGGGGGGACTTCTGTTACCCTTGAACCTAATTCACTGGGCTTCAGTGTACGTCTCGTTATGTTCATTAGGAATGTCTTTGGAATCTAGTAGTCCTGGGAACCAGTGTGTGATGGGACATGTTCTGTTGCTGTGTCTAGTCACTGAGGGGGTGCATGCAGCCTAATCTGAGAATCGACTGGAGAAAACTCCCTCGATTGCCCTGGGACTATAGGTCAAAGACTTCTTCCGTAGCGACTTCCATAACCAACAAGCCCTCCCTTCTGATGCTGAACTGCCTTCTGACAGTTGCCCCCATATAAGCGTCCCTTGTGGCCTGAGGGAGTCCTGTTGGGCCAGACCTACTTCCATGGGGGTGACTAGAGCCAGCTGGTGCTACTGTGGGTCATCAGTGTTCATGGTGACACTGTACAAAGGAAAAAGGAATATGGCTGATTATATTTGCTGAAGGTAAAGCTCAATGTTCATTACCCAAATGCATTTTTTCAAGGTATTGATGGCACCTCCACATATACCAGTGGTGATCAGAAAACTATAAAGTCCACTAGGAAAAAAACCAGTGGGAAGGCCCCACACCTCCTGCTAATGTTGTTGCCCTCCTACAGACTTGAGTCACAACAGTCCAACCGGCGGAAGAAGCGTGCTTTGGACGCAGCCTATTGCTTTAGGTAAAGGAAACTACAATAAAATAATGTGATTGCATGTTAGCCCTTCTGCTGTCTTTGTCTTTTCTCTCACTGCAAATGGACCTGAACTGCACTCATTGCTTAAGGCCAGGTGGCTCCAGGAGAGCTACCATATCTCACACCATCATTCTCCCCGGAGGCTTAAAACAGTTATTTCTGCAGTTGCATTCACCAGCCCTTTGCAGTGAACCAGGTGTGAAGGGAAGAAACCAGCCCCCTGATTGTTACCGAGTTTTCCTCAAGCACTTTGGGGCTGGAGAATAAAATGGGCTCCCTGCTCCTTAGAGCAAATATGTTTATTTGAGGTGCATGATGACAGCTTCCTAATTCGGAAGCCTCACCATCCGTAGGAAGCCTTCACCCCCATGGCAGAGTCCCATGGTTTCCTCTTTCACGGTAACAGAGATGCGAGAGGCAATAGGAGAATGATGTCTGTTGTCTTTAGCTCCAGAATTTGACGGAAGTGAGGGCAACATGAATTCATTTTCCATTCCCATGTGAGTGTGTAGAGGGAGCGTGTGAATATTCTTCTATGGTTCCTTATCAAGCCTTGAACAGGAGAGCTTTATTTGGAGAGCTACGGAGAAGGGAGGGGTCCTTCCTGACAAAATGCTCCACGTGTCAGAGTTCACAAGTAAAATCCATGTGTCAGAGTTCACAAGTAAAATCGGGGGTTTTTTTTTGGTTGCCAGCTTCAGTGATCACACGAAGCAATACTTCATGTTTCTTGACCTCTGGTTCATTCCTAGATCAAGGGACATGGACTAAAGTAAAGGATTTATTCTCAAAAGCAAATGCCTCGCATGGTTCTTTGATCATAGCTGTTGTACTCCATTCATTTTTTTGTTTGAAAGGGCAATAGAGGCTGGATGGCAAACCTGTGCCATTTTGCCCTTGCAAAGGGATTAGTCTCTTCCAGCCACCTCTCTGCTTATATCTAGTCATTCAAGGGAAAAAACCTGACTTTCAAAGTCACAGACAAGGGAGCGAGGGTGGAGCACGTAGAAGGGAAAAGGGTCCAGCTAATCACCTGAACACGCCATCGTGAAAGTCACTTGATGTTACAATAAAACCATTAAACCCTGGCCCATGATCTGTGCTCAATGGATGCTTGTTGAATAAATGAATGAGTCATTTTTCTGGTTTGGATGATGGGTAGGGGGGATATCAGCCTTAAAAATTTCCATTGCTCTCTTACCAGAAATGTGCAGGATAACTGCTGCCTTCGTCCACTTTACATTGACTTCAAGAGGGACCTAGGGTGGAAATGGATACATGAACCTAAAGGGTACAATGCCAACTTCTGTGCTGGAGCATGCCCATATTTATGGAGCTCTGACACTCAGCACAGCAGGGTAAGCTTTTGGCCAACTGTTTCTTCTGTTCCTGGGTTGCTAATGTGTCCTTGCTCAATTTCCAAATGAATTCTAATGGGCCTGCTGCCCTTTCATCATCAGATGTGAGTGAGCACTTGAGAAGTCCTTTTCAATCCCAAAAACAGCATGGCTGTAAGTGACTTCAGAAGGGAACCTGGATTAGTTTGAATAGTAGGTCTTGCCTTCCCAATTAGATTATAAACAACTGGAAGACAGTTTTGTTTAATTCATCTTCTGTTTTTATATTCTCAACAGCTCTAAGCATAAATAGGTAGTCAGAAAAAAACTTTTGGAATCAATGTATCACGTAGTGTCATATGCAGTGACGATGTCAAGGAACCAGGTCCCCATCTAAAATGAGGAGCTGTTACCACCCACCACAGGGCACTGTCTTAGTAGAAAGAACTTTAAGCATAAAACTGTTTTCAGTATCACTGCTTTACAACAAAAAGTCATTTAACTTCTCTGAACCTTGATTTCATATTGGCACAGAGGAAAGTTTATATTAGAAAGTATCTTTCAGATAATAATGCCCAACTGGGGAAGAACAAAAAGATGACATGTGTGAAAATGATTTGAGAATTAGCACCTCTAAGTCTTCTTGAATGTAACCCAAAGTAAACAAGACTAAATCCTTTATCAGGGGGGATAGGAGGTTAACTCAAAGAGCAGGTCCTTGTTTGGATGCTTGGGCTAGTAGCCCAGATTAGCAAAGGCTTTTTCTGTGCAATGATGATATGTGTCCAAATGGCTCTTCCCGGCACCGCACAGCATAGGATTTTAGGGGTGGAAAGGATTCCATAAGTTATCTTGTCGAAACATTTCACTTTTCTGAAGATATGAGGGTTTTGAGCATGCAGATGACTTGCCCAAGATCAAATGGTTAGTGACAAACCAAAGCCTGGAATGCGGGGCCTCCTTGTTTTATAACCTCATTTGCTGTGTCTCACTGAGTTTAATTCCTGAAATATGGCTGCACATTGGGGTTATGTCTCTGTAAATCTCCTGATTAAAGAGGCATTAGAAAAATTGCCTTCACTGCAGGGTAGGAAAATGAATGTGCTGCCAGAAGAGCACATGGTGCTTTCTGCTGAATTCAAGAGTTCCAGGGTTATCAATTATTGTAGACAATTTGTGTTATAAAATTCCTCTTTAATTCCTACAAGAAAGCATGTGTTAGTGGAACATGAAGTCTTTGTATTTACATATGGCTACATATGCTAGACTTTAAATTGACAAATATTGCTCTCCTTCCTCCAGCTGTTTTCCCAACTCCCCTGTAGCTTTTGGCACTCGGGCTGACCACGTGCTCGGCCATGTGAGGGAAGCTTGCTCATGCCTGTCCCTTTGTTGAGCTCCCTGGCCAGGCTGCTTCATCTGGGCTGTGGCAACAGTAGCTGTAATGTGGGTAAGGCCCAGCGGCCAAGGAGAAACATGATTCTCCTCCCCGATACACAGAGGGAGTGTGTGAAGGCTGAGGCCATGCTTGTTTTTCAAGGAGGGAGGAAGAATAACTGTCGTGGTCACAAATGTGTGGTTTGGACAGTTCCCCAAGAAGCCAGAGGTAGCTTCATAAAGTAGTCAGTGTGGCTGCGCTGAACAGATCTTCTGTCCTAGACTGAAAAAATTGCAGTGAATCTCGAGGAAAAGGTCATTTGCTATTTGACTAGCACATTGATGGTATCCTTGGAAATGTCTCTTTATCATCATTGGGGAACCTACATACGTCCATTGGTAAAAGTCACATACCCCTTTGATATAGAAGGGGGTTCAAGGTCCTGGACTAACTGCAGCACTCCCTCTCATTCTGTTTTCGGACGGGCTGTCCGCTCCTCCAACTTAGACCCTGTCATTGACCACCTGGAAAGCTAAATGCAGGGGTGATGATCATTATTTTTATTATTGTTATTAATATTATTTGTGGGCAAAATGTAAGAAAGTGAATAATTAGGAATATAGATTGCTTTTGAGGTCATTCTTAGCATGACTATACTTATGAAGCCAGGATAAATGAAAAGATTTTCATCTTTTTTCTTTTAAACGAGAATTTAAGTGACATTAAATTAGCCTCAGAAGACACTCAATGTAGAAAGATGTCACATTGTAGACAGGTGTTTTTTTTTTAACCTAAGAGTAGATAAAAGCTCTTATGGGAGTTTTAATTAAAAAAATATATTCTTGTATCTACCCATGTGTTCATTTCTTCACCTAGCACGAGTCTCATTTTGTCCAGACTTACTAAGGCAATCAGGGAAAAGCAATCTCTAATGTCCTCACCTCCAGGAAACTTAACCTAGGTGAGAATTGAAAATATATACTCATAAAACAACTTCACTTACAAAGAGGTGTAGAAACAAGACCACATACTCAGAGGACCCATTTTTTGGAGGGCCTGGGGAAAATGTGCAGCACAGCAGATAACCAAAGTAGAGAACTTACTGGAAAAACTGAACTCTGTCGAATGAGCGATATCATCCAATCCTGCTTGTACAGAATCATTTGTTTGTGATGTAGAAGAGATTCTGTACGAACATGATGAATTCAGTGATTTCTAGGGGCACATACCAATTTGACCATAACTGGGGATTAAGAAAAGGAAATTATAAACCAAACAATGTTTAAATTGCCTAGTCTGTGCTATGACTGGCTAAAGTTAGGTGGAATGGTTCTTTAAAAATAATCGCTTTGTTTTTTTTGTCTTTTTCTATGTTGTCTTTCCTGTCCTGTGTCCTTTCAGGTTCTCAGCTTGTATAACACCATAAATCCAGAAGCTTCAGCTTCTCCTTGCTGCGTGTCTCAGGATTTAGAACCGCTCACCATTCTTTACTACATTGGCAAAACACCCAAGATCGAACAGCTTTCCAATATGATTGTAAAGTCTTGCAAATGCAGTTAAGATTCTGGGGGAAAAAAGTGGCAAGACGATGATCACAAAGATAGGATGATGATGAAAACGACAGTGTGTGTAACAAGGAAACATAAGAGAGCCTTGCTTCATCAGTGTTAAAAAAAAAAAATCTGAAAAAGCGGTACCAGTTCAAACACCTGGGAAGTCTGTGTTCTGTTAAAACTGGCATCTGAAACAAAAGAAAAAGTCGAAGGCTTAATCTACATTTCACCAACTCTGTGAGAGAGACAAGAAGCAAAACCTTTTTTTTTTTAAGAAAAAAAATAAACACTGGAAGAATTTGTTAGTGTTAATTATGTGAAAGGAAAAACAAAACAAAACAAAACAGGAAAATCCCGTTAAGTGGAGTTGCTGTACATACCGTTCCTATCCCATGCCTCACTTGATTTTTCTGTATTGCTATGCAATAGACACCCTTCCAATTCTTACTCTTAGAGTTAACAGTGAGTTATTTATTGTGTGTTACTATATAATGAACATTTCATTGCCCTTGGAAAATAAAACAGGTGTATAAAGTGGAGACCAAATACTTTGCCAGAAACTCATGGATGGCTTAAGGAACTTGAACTCCAACGAGCCAGAAAAAGAGGTCATATTAATGGGATGAAAGCCCAAGTGAGTTATTATATGACCAGGCAAGTCTGCATTTAAGATAAAGACCCTGAAAACACACCAACTGCCTAAGGTAGCTTTTTGTAAGGTTCAAAACTGAAAAGGCTGTTAATAAAGGAAACTTTCGGTCAGAATAAGTCTGTAAGATTTTTTTTCCTTCTTAATTGTAAATGGTTCTTTGTCAGTTTAGTAAACCAGTGAAATGTTGAAATGTTTTGCTACGTACTGGTCACACTTCAAACCGTAAAGTATTGCCATAAAGCTAGGCTCTAGGTTTTCCCTTCGGTTTGGTATCTGTCAACCATACCTATATTACTATAATAGATGGGTATAGAAGCCAGTATAATTGGAAACACACCTGCAGATCTTTTTTTGCAAACTATGAAATCAAAACATTAACTACTTTGCGTGTAATGTGTAAATTTTACCGTGTTTTTAATGTTCCGTAATAATGTCAACTATGATTGAGATTGGACTTACATTTGGACTCCTTTTAATGATCACTCCGAATTGTGTGTTTCCTGTAGCTGGCCAGTTCTTTTCAGTAAAACCCCAGTATTTTGACTTGCACTACAAATACATGTTTTATAGTATTTGCTCCATGTGTGTACTTTGTGCATTTTCTCCATTATTACGACATAAGCTACCTGATCCACTTGTCCTTTTTTTTCCTTCTATAAAAAGGATAGATTCATGTTCAGTAGTGTTCCTTCATTTTCTAAGCATCATCACTAATCAATGCAATGTTCAAAATCTTCTCTTGTAGGAAAATTGGAGTATATGATAGATACATAGATAACTGAGGTGAATTGGTTTAGTGTTTAGCAAGGGCCCACAGATCTGACTGAAACGCAGAATCTTGGTGACTGAGTTAAGAAAGGTTTCTCTAATGTGGTGTAATCTGTATTTTCAGAGAATTTTATTATTATTAAAGATCAGACTGTTCATAGGAAACATCTTTTCCTTTAATCAGGTTTTTAGTGTTCAAGGGGAGACGGGAAGATCTACATTTTAATTGATTCCGTTGTTTTTTTCTTTTTAGGGGAGAATAAGTGTCCAGGTCAGCATAAGCTACTTAGTGTATATTATGAAGGTAAGGTTTTTATAGAGGTTCTTTGGAAGTTGCACAAGCACCAGCCCAGTTCTCCCACAATAAAAAAATTCTTTCTTTCCTCTGAATAAAAGTTATTTAGATCTGAGGCTAGACTGGACTTGGCTTTAATAAATGATTTGCCACGTCATTGCAGAGAAGGTCATCTTATGTCAGGGTTTGTAGGCTATGCCAGTTGTCAGTTGTCTATATTTGTGTTTAAGATTAGAAGTGAATGGGTAAAACAATGGGATAGTTACGGTTTCAGCTAAAGAACAGCACGGTGAGGTGGGCCTCCAAAGTGAAGTTGCTAGATATAGGATACTTTTTTGGAATTCATGAAAATGACAAATGGGATTTTCAAGTTTGAAAACTGGAAGAGCAAGAGACGAGACGCCACAATAGTGAACAACCCTTGTATTAGATGTAACCCAACCCCAGATCTGAGTGTGTGGATTTTTTTTCTCTTCCACTTTTCTATTAGTTCTATGTAAATCACTCTTATTTCTGCAGGTATTCTCCTCTCAGATAGAATGACATTTGTTTTATATTATTTTGTCTTTCCTCATGAATGCACTGATAATATTTTAAATGCTCTATTTTAAGATTTCTTGAATCTTTTTTTTATTTTAGTTTGTGGGGTTTCTATAAGGTCTTTATTTCCAGTAAGTAAATATTGCCGTGGGAAGGGTGGGAAGTGGGAGGGCAAAGGGGAAATGTTAGTATGCAGGTGGGGGGGGGGGCGCAGCAGTTTTTATATGTTAAGCAGCAGTACAATTTTATGGTTGGCATGATTTTTCTAAAAAATGGAATATAAGAATAGCTGTTTTGTATTTTGATGACTGATTACGCTGTATTTTAACACAATGTATGTCTGTTTTTGTGGTGCTCTAGTGGTAAATAAATTATTTCAATTGTATGTTGATGTGTTTTTCCTGTCATGGTGTCATCAGGAGAGAAACACCTCTAATGCAATGAGAATGATCACAAGCCGCAAAAGTCTTGCCATCTTAAAGATCATGCTTTTTTTCTCAAGGACATTCATTTCACAAATGCCATGATGTATATAGCTCAAGAGTCAGGACCTGTCTGTCAAAGACAGAAGAAAGACCTTTGCAGTCTTTTTATTCTCTTGCTTATTGCTGTTTGGTAATTGTTTGAAATTTAGTTTCCATCCAGCTTGACTGTCTACCAGAAAAAATGCAGAGATGTTTGGACCAGGCTTTGGCTTTCTGGTTCTATGTTCTGCCAACCCCAGGGCCAAAAGAATTGGTCTAGACAGTATCCCCTGTAGCCCCATAACTCGGATAGTTGCTGAGCCCGCCAGATACAACAAGAGCCATGTGCTCTTTGGAGTTGGGCTTGGAGAGCAGCTCCTCTTCTCTCCCTTTAGCCATACCACTGCACCAAAAAACCCCGATTCCCACAGATTTCCTTGGCTGTGCCCTACAAGCCCAGACTTCACAAGTGAGTTGCCAGTCTCTTAATAAATAGAACTAATAAAATAGTTGTGGCTCCATCTAGTTGTCTTGCTTTATCTAACGAAAAACCGGTTTGTGCCTGCTGTCTTAACGTCACCTAGACATGAAACACCAGTTCTAGTGTTTAGGTAGAATAGAAAATGGTTCCCGTTTCTACAACCTGTGTTGCATATTTTATACTCACCTCAGGCAGAGGAGAAGCATTTTGCTTTAAAACAATTAGTTCATGCTTCTCGGCAGAGGGCCAGTTCCAGGCCTGTGGGCCCAGCCCACATGCCCTGCATGTGATGAGGGAGAATAGTACGGTCCTGTAAAGCTGTGTGAAGGGTTGCCTAGCAGCTGTATCAGCTATGGCAAATCTGTACGCCACGCTCTGAGCCTCCATTTCTTCATCTTTAAAATGCGGATGAGACAACCTGTTTTACAGGGCTTTATGTGTGTGTTTGTGTGCCCTTGTTAAGTGAATGGACACATGAAAAATGCTTGCCTAGGTCTTTGACCTGTATCTGATATCAGTAAATAGTAGTCTTAACAATATTTCCCCATCCAATCTGATTTTGGCTTCTTAACAGTCCTGTTGCAGTGAGCTCTTTACGTTTAGACTGTAACCCGGGTCCGGGCTTCTCCATTTTGATACTCAGTGTGTAAACCCTCCAGACCTTAATCTCATAAATGGATCAAACCATCAGTTATTCCTGAGAATATTCTGTTCCTCCGTTTGCTAACCTTTTGGTTACGTGACTGACCAGAAATTATTTAAAATAGTGCGTCAGTGTTCATTTTAAGTTTTGCTTCAGTCCACCAGCTAAAATTCAAAGTCAAAAGACAATGTGGCGGTTGAATGAGCCTTTACCTATGCCGATGGTAATCAGAACTGCAGTCTGCGGAGTACCTGCAAGCTCCTGCTGTCTGTTGACCTATCTAACCTCAGAGTCCAGCCTCTGATGTAGGCTTTTGTTAATGTAATTCCACTTTACAGTGCAGTAAGCAGACTCAGAATGGTTAAAGGATGTGTCAAGAATGACTCATTTTGGAAGAGGAGGGTCTAGAACTTTGTTGTCCAGGACACTGGCTATTAGCCACATATGACTTTCAAGCAACTGAAATGTGCCTCATCTGAACTGAGATATGCCTAAGTGTACAATACACAGCCGATTTTGAAAATTTAGTTAAAAAAAGTAAAAGAATGTAAAGGTCTCATGAATCTTTTATATTGATTCCATGTCTAAATAATACTCCTTTGGATATATAGAATTAAAAATACTCTACCATCAAAATTAACTTTTTTACTGTTTTAATGTAATTACCAGAACATTGAAAAATGACATCAGTGGCTCACATTCAATGCTTGGATTCTATTTCTTCTTTTTGGTTCTTTGTTTGGATTTCCAGCTCTCCGCTCACACTGCTCAGCTGCCTCGCCTGCTGTGTATGTTATCCGTTAGAGCCCTTAGCATATTGGTCATAGTCATTTTATAGTCCCAGTCAGATAATTCCAACATCCTTGCCATGCCTGTTTCGATGCTGGCTTTGTATCTTCAAATTGTGTCTTTTGCCTTTTGGAATGTGTCTTGCCTGAGGGTTTCAGCCCCAGGCAAGTTCACTATGGATTCCGTGGGACTGAGAAATGACCGTGGAACATGTTTAGGGTAAAAGGGTTGATACCTCTGATACATAAATAAAGTAAATAAAGAATATATACTTTCTTCTCCTGGCAGTAGGTTGAGCACTAGAATCACGCCTGCATCCAGCTGTCTGTAGGTCAGTAACCCACCTCTGTCTCTGCCTCCACCCAGAGCACTGGGCAGAACTATATATATAGTGACTCAGTCAGTAATAATAGCTCACTGCCTATGGGTGTGGAAGCGGTAGCCCAGCAGCAGGCCAGTTACATCAAGTAGCTGAGGGTCAGGTGAGGATCCTGGCCATGGGAACTTCTATTTTCCCCACAGTATACACCTTGTCATTTTTTCTTGATACCCAGACGAATGTACCAGATAAGAGGAACAGCTGTGATTAGGCATTAGTAATTGGTGGTGAAGGGTGGGAGAAACACTCTATAGTCCTTGATTAGGTTTAGCATTTCCGTAAGCCTATGATCTCTGGACTGTGAACTTGACCAGTTTCTCAGTTTTTATCTCCTCCTTTGGTTGGAGCAGGATGACTAGAATGGGCTAGAGTTAAGGTTTTTCCCTCTCCTGTGTCAGTAGGCTCTGACAGTGCCCTGGCAGGTCAGGAGCTGGTGAACTAGTTTCCCCTGAGGGCAGGACTTGTTAGGAACAGAGTGCCCTGGTGTTTTTCAGATGGTTCTTTTCCCTCCCCCTGCTGGAAGTATAAGAAGATCTTTCCCTGGCATTTACTGTGGGGGTCTGGTGTAGCTGCTGGCGGTAAACCTCACAATATTGTGGGAGTGTGCTATAGCTGGGTTACCCCCGAGTTTTTAACTCTCAGAGTTGTCTGCACTGAGCCTCCAGCAATGCATCAGTTAACATTCAGGTTTTCCTACCCCGACCCTGGTTCCTACAGGGGTTTCTGCTTGAGAGTCTCTGCTGCGGTAATCACTGATGACTTCATTGTCCCACATGTCTCTCCAATCTTGATGACCTCCAACCCATGTTTGCCCTGTGTCTGTAACCAGACAGGGGTCTGCTGCCCAATGCATACTATAAGTCAAACATGGGACCCTGGCTTTTGCAAAGGAAAGAGCTTTATTGCAAGGCAGCCAAGCAAGGAGACAGGAGGCTAACTCAAATAGGTCTCTCACTTACCAGCAAGAGTAGCTTTTTAAGAGGCATGGTAAAATGGGATTGGTTGAGTGTTGGGAAATCCCTCCTCAGGTTTCTCCATCCCACAGTGATTTCTACATCCTCTGATAATTAATTGCATGCTTGTTTGGGATGAGTTTTCTGTTGTTGATTGCCAGTTCCCTTTTATTGTATGTCCAGGCTGCAACGATTAATGGCACCCTTTGCCTCAGATCCTTGCCCCAAGTCCCTGAGGTGACATTGTTAATTCTTTTGAGGTGATAATTTTTCTTGTGGGACATCAAAAAGGTCAATGACCAGGCAAACAGCTCTATCCTGCACAGACTCTATAGGGCTCCACCAGTTTCACCTGGATCTAGCGGGTTTCTGGGGAGAGACTGGCAGGGACTTGGAGGCTTCCAGTTGTTCTCTGGAAAATGAGAATCATCTGTGACTGTCACCCTGCCAGGCACAGTTTCATGTCCTTCCATTTCTTATGCATCCAGGAAGAATTGGTGATTTTTCAGTCTGTTCATCTTTTACTGGTTGTTAGGAATGGAGGGGAAACTTCTAAGCTCTTTACATGTAGAACCAGAAACCAGAAGTTCTGTTTCTTTACACACTTTCTGGTGTAGAATTTGAAAGCAGCTCTGTTTAGAAACAAAAGGCTAAGTAAGCTATTCCCATCAACTATATGACCAGCTTTTGATTTTGTAGTTAACATATGATTGAACAGTATTTAGTCAAACCCTATGGAAATGTATTTATAGTTCATGATTTATTGAATGTTGCCACTTCTAACAGCTGACACTGATTGACAAATGTGGTAATAAACATGCAAATATGATACGAGTCCCCCTGGCAAAATGCTTGGTAAAATTGATGGTCACATACCACCAATGAATCACTAAGTGAGACAGCACGACCTACATCTAGGGTAGTCGGACTACTTATCATATGTTTTTAGTCCATAGAAATATTTATTAATGGTACTGTAACAACATTTCTGCTGTGTTTAAGAGAAGGAAAAAGCCAAAACACTCAATATGCTCATTTCAGTCCCTGGTCTTGAGGAGACACTGCTCTTCTATTTAGAAATAAGCTGTGCTATACCCCCTTTACTAACAGGCTTTAGAGGGCTGGGTTCTGGCTTTGTGTTCTGGAGCCTATATAAAGGAGGGTTTTTTTGTTTTTTAGAAAAGAATCAAAATTACAAATACAAAATTAGATTCAGAGCCTTAGAAAGGGCCAATAAAAGTAAAAAGCTGGGATGATCTAAGTTTTAAGAGCTCTACAAACCTGCTTCTGGACAGTAAGCTAACACATGCCTGTTTCTATCAAAGATGGGTTACCTTGCTAGATCCCATCTCTGCCGCTAACCTACTAACTCTGCGGCTTTGCTCTCTGGCTTCCCCTTGTCTCTGCAACCACATCTTATATGCTGAACACAGGTAAATAACACCCTGGTTTTACTAACACCGCAGTTCAGCAACAACAGAAGGAATTTTATGTTTTGCCCTTGTAACTAGATCCTATGAAACTGGAGAAACTGTTACTCTCAGTATTAGGTTATTGTTCCGGTAGATATGAATCACGTCGCCTGAAGCTGCAAAAGGAATGCTTTTCAATAAACTTTTTCAAATGAAGGAATTGCTTTAGGTTTTCCCCTGTTGTGTCTTTATTTCTCTGAAAGA